CTTGTCTTCCTGAGAGCACAAGGATGGCGGTTTACTATTTAATTGTTACTTACACTTTGTTAGGTTTCAGACGCTGAAAAATGTTTAGGGATTTATTCTTCTGTGTAATTAACCATAATGATGAAACACAGTTTTATACCGCACTGCAGTTTTTGTTAAGGTTATTCATAATGGGGAAAGGCTAAATAGGTTGAGTTCATTATCGTTACAGAAAAAAATTGAGGTGACCCAATCAAATTAATTTGAAATTAAGTGCAGTGAGGCTGATAACTCCACACAAGTCAGGAGTTCAAATAAAAATAGAAGAGACATTCTACAAAGCAAGAAATTACAAGAGGAAGGGGAGTTGATCTGGAATTACTGCGTCTGGGAGGTGGCAAACAGGACCACTGAGAAAACCACTGAAAATGGATAAAGAGGCAAAGACTGTAAGACGTAAAAGGAGAAGCCAAAGGAGGAAGGGACGAACATGAAGATGGATTTGAAATAAATGGGTAGGGACAGTGCTTATTAAGCTAACTAGATTTATTCCTCTGCCCAGAAATTCTTATGTCCTTACAAGACAGCATTGAAGCAAGGTCTTTAATTTTACTTTTCCTGGGTTTATTGCTTGGCCCTTAATGTTACTTAACAGCAGCGAGCGTCAACCAGTTTCACTGTGAAGCTGGACTTAATGCAGAATCGTTTCATCTGGTGGAGGCTTTCTCCTCTTGACAAAGACATCCTGAAGAAGCTGGTGCTTCCGACAGAACATGGAAGTTGCGAATCTTAGGAGAATGGACACTGCCGAAATACCGATGGATGGAGCTGGGATAGGGAGACAGCATTCCCCCAGGAAGCAGGAAGAATGCTGATGGGATGTTCGTGATGTATGCTGTCATAGTTTAAGGGTTTAATCTCAAAGGAAATGGTTAAGATAAGCAATACCCTGATGCGAGCCATCTCTAGGAAACTATTGAGTGCTGCTGCGAGATGATGCTCCAGTTATTAGCTGCGATGAGTTTACTCCCAAGTCTTTACCAAGTTCTATACCATTTGTTTTCTCCCTCAGGGCCAAAGCAAGGAAGAGCGAGATCCCAGCAGCGCCAGGCTCGATGGAAGAGGCTGTGCTGGGGACTGCCAGGTAGGACACACGGCAAACGCGAGCTGGGACCATCAGATTGAGATCCTGTCCCCAGCTACCCAGTTTGAACCGCACGTGGGTTTTTAAAGGACTGGCCAAAACGCCCCAAATCTCTCAATGCAGCTGCACAAGCGACTTTTCTCCTGGCTCCCCACTTTGGCCATGCCGAAATCTCACCTTTTGAGCTTTCTGCCCTCTCCTCATGAAATGCAAACTGCTTCGCTTCACCTTGAAGGTCCCATGGCCTAGCTTCTCTCCATCCTCACCTCCAATTCACCCCTAAGCGTACAGGGAGCATTTGGGATAAAACTTCAAGAATGCATTCAATATAAATTATTATTCCCCTTCTAAACGGATTAAGAAAATCCTTTTATTACAAAATATTAAAATGTTCAAATTATTGGTGTGGAAAAACGTTTCCTGGAGGTAAAGTTTTTAAAAATTGAGGTTTTAATCACAAGCATAATCCTTTCTGGCTAACGTTTCCAGTCTTGTGAAACATCTAGATACAAAATGCGCAGAGGCCTGGCTGTGCTATGAACAAAGGAAGATGCTGCCTGTAAATAGCTTAGAGGACATCAGAAGACACTTCTCTCATCAGCAATCTTTTTTAGCTTAATATAGCTCCTCTTTGCATAAAACATTGACATTTTTGCAATGTTTGGACCCAATGGTGCGAAAGCTGATTGTCATCCGAAGATACTAGAGTGTACCTTCAAAAATATGCAAGAACATTTTACAGACAGTAGTTTTACTTGCCTCCAAAATGCTGTATCTTAATATTTCATACTTATATATATTTAAATGTTAGTACCACTGGATAAATGCTAACATGCTTTTATGCTAATGCAATCACTGAAAAATCCAGATAATGTTGTGTATTGGCATACAGTGTTAGTGAATTATGGATACCTAAATGTACAATCCCACATGCCTAGCAATTATTTTTGTTAGTGCATTTAACTTTTATTTGCAATCAGAGCACTTGAGGATTGTTCAAATGAAGTTTACTTTTGCAAACTGCTGAATGGAAAACATTTTGTTAAAGGTTTAAAAACAGTAAGACTGTGATGAGGTTGCAGAGTTGCAATAAGGGCACCGCTCCGAAAACTCGACCAGATGGAACGATGTTTGATTTGGTCACAGACTCAGCGATTAAAAGCCAAATGCCTAAAATGAAGGACATCTAAGAGAGACAAGAGATGAAAACTTGATTTCTTCCGTATCAGGTCACCCTCTTGCACGGCAGAGGCTCACAGACAGAGCCAGATGGATGCCGGGAGGAGAGCATCCATCCAGGCAGCACCCTGGCGCCCTTTGCCTTGAGGACCAAACTCTCCCGTGCTAAGGCCGCTTTTCAAGTCCGGTTTAAGCCCGATACACAGAAGTGATATCAGGAGGGAGAAATCCTGAACTGCCACTGCCATGCCTTCTCCTGCCTTCACTGATCCAACGTCTTGGCCAGCCCGTTGGCTCAATTTGCTGATCCACTTGAAAACCCATTTATCTCACGTTGGTTTTCAAGCACATCTCGGGTCTCTGAGCCAGGTCCCAGCCGGACTGCATGCAGGCAAGACCTGGGTGAGGCAGCTGGTTGCTCCATCCCTTACCTGCCTCACTATCTGATCAGAGTTAAAGACAACACAGATCCAGAGAAGACCTGGGTATTTTTAAGAGTTGAACAGTTCTGGATGTGACCCAAGCACGTCTGAGATTGCTCAGTGTCCAGTGGCTTTCTCCTGCATAAACCAACTTGCCTACAGACAATGCCAAACTCCCTCTTCCAGGTTCAGCCATGCCAGGAGTTAACGACCTCATGGGCTGGGCTGAGGAGTTGCCATCATCATGCCTTGATTTTCTTCTGGTAAGGTTTGCCTGGCTTGAAACCGCTGGCCTGAGCCAACCTGGCTGAAGAGACCTGGGAGGTGGCCACAGGCCCATTGGTGAGCAGCAGACCATTGCTTCCTGCCCCGGGCACACAAGTACAGATCGGATCACATCCCTACAGCCCAGCGGGCCGTGGCACCTCTGGGCATTTACTGGAAAGTCCTACCACTTGAGACTCCTAGGAACAACCATGAGTGAAGGAAATAAAGAACAACCCCTCAGAAAATGCTTAACGTGAAGTACTTGAAATGCCCCCGGCAGTTTAAATGGAGCACGGAGTAAGCTCAGAAAATGTATGAACAAACAAATTAAGCAGATAGCACAAAGCAGACGAGTTGGCATGTAGGTGCCTATTGAGAAAGCTTAAGCACAGCAAGGGGAAAAAAGCAGACCCAAAAACCAGGCATAATATTCCTCACATTTTGGAACTGAGCTCTCTGACAATACATCATCCAAGCCACTCAAAATTACCATCTGTCAGAACGTCCTTTAAAGAAAAAAGGTCTAAAAGTTTCCAAAGTGGCATTTTAATATCATCACATTAGAAAAGAGATTGCTTCTGTCCAAAGAAAGGCATTTGCAATTAAGTGAGGAATACTACACAAAAGCACTAGTTTTGTGGCCACTGCTACACGCTCGTATCATGAGACAATGAATTTCTTGAGTCTTGATCATGTCACATTAGCCAAATCAGGAAAGAAGTGACTTAATAGCCCCCATCATTTCACAAGTTACCTGCAAATGTTTCCAGAGCCTCTGCATGACTTTCTGTTTATGAAACATAAAATTAAGAGTCTACATGCTATTAAAGAACCTAAGGAAACAATTACAGTATGTTTCAAACATTAAGATACACCAGAATATGAAAAGCGGGTCTGTGTTTCTGATGTGAAAGAGTGTATTTATTGTGATAAGTCAAGCTCTGTTTCGGACTATAAGCTGAGTATTTTCCTGGTGTAAATCTGGATACCTGCTGCTGTCCATGAGGCCACATTACTTCACACATGCTGAGGACCAACTGCATCGTATACAAGATTGCAAAAGAAATGCAGGTTTGTAGACTACATATTAGTCTAAGTGATAAATAATTTATAATGGAGGAGAAGGTGACCGTATAGAAATATGCAGATGTAATAGTCCTGACTTTCAATCTTCACTCTGCACTTCTGACCTTGAAGTTTGGGTTCATCCAACGCATTTCTAAAGCCTCTGCACCTGTGAATGCACAACACACACACCACAAAGCCCCCAAACACATAAAACAAAAAAGGCACCAATAAACCCCGCTGAGCCCACAGGGTACCACCTGCAGCACGACGCGCTATCTGCCCTAGCACGAGGCCGACTGGGCTCCTTCGGGCAACAGCCGCCTTCCAGTCAACCACAATCTTCACACCAGTCTCTTCTTGATTCAGCCTGTTGACCCCGTTCCTAACCCCGTGTCTAATCGACACCCCTTTGGTGTCAGAGGCACATCTCTGTAGGGCTAAAAAACTGCCACCAAAGACCGCAGGAGTTGCTGTATTTCTGAATTCAGCATCTCACTATCCTAAAGTGGCCTAGGAGGCAGGAATCGGAGGCAGAAAGGTGCTCCCTGGGGTGTTCCTAACCACACCGTCCTCCAGATCTTGCCCCGGAGAGGGCTGCCAAGGGGAGAGGCGGGGAGGCAGAATTATTCCCCTCAGGCTCTGCAAAAACAATGACCCCAGGGATATCCAGAAACAATCATAGCTTCCACACTGAATTACTTCTGGCTAAGTCTAACGAGCAGGGTGAGGACACAATGAGAAGATAGCCAGGGTCAAGTGGTGCTGCAAGAAAAGGGCTAGGCAGGGGAGGAGACAATTTGGTGTGTTGCAGGATGAGAGCAGCTTTCAGCTCCCGCTATTAGAAATAAATCAAGAGAGCTGAAAGGAAGCACAGAGCCTGTCTGGTCTCCCAAGGTTTTCACCCTC